CCTACCTACCTACCTACCTACCTACCTTCCAACAGAATACCAGTGTTGGAAGATCTTTTAATCTAATCTCCTGCTTAAGCAGGAAACCCTATCCCATTTTAGACAAATGGTTTTCCAATCTCTTCTTTAAAATCTCCAGTGTTGGAGCACTTACAACTTCTGGAGACAACTGGTTCCACTGATTAATTATCAGAAAATTTATCCTTAGTTCTACGTTGGTTCTCCCCTTGATTAGTTTCCATCCATTACTTCTTGTCTTCTCTTCAGGTCAGGGGTGGGATTCTACCAGTTCGCCCCTATTCTCTAGAACTGGTTGTTAACATTCTAAGCAGTTCGAAGAACCGGTTGTTGGAAGAAATTATTGGCCTAATCCTGTAAGGAAGGCAGGAAGGAAACATTCTGGTGTTGCTTACAGAAACCGCCTCTCCGTTAACCCTTATTACATTCTTGGCAGGACTAGACTTCCTGTCTTAGGAATGTCTCTGGAGTTTTTTTCCCCTCCTTTGCTGGTACTTTGCTTGTGTGGAGTGACCATTCAAAGTTATAATGGCACTGAAAAAAGTGACTTATGACCCTTTTTCCACACTTATGACTGTTGCAGCATCCCCACAGTCATGAGAGGCCAGGCGAGGAGATGCGTGCCTCTATGTGAGTGATATTGAGTTGGCCACATCCAGCCAATAACATGATCACCAACTAAGCCACACACACAGAACTAGTTGTTAACAAATTTGAATCCCACCCCTGCTTCAGGTGCTTTGGAGACTAGATTGACCCCTTGTTCCTTCTCCTTCCTTCCTTCCTTCCTTCCTTCCTTCCTTCCTTCCTTCCTTCCTTCCTCCCTCCCTCCCTCCCTCCCCTCCCCTCCCCTCCCCTCCTCTCCCCCTCTTCCCCTCCCTCCCTGTATCAGCTGAAGTCAACTCTTATGTCACAATACACTTATGTATTTGCCTTAGCATTTTTCCTTGATTTTCTGAAAATGGTTAAGAGAATTACATTTCTGGAATTCAGTTCTATATATTCCATGTCACTCCAATTCGGAAAACATCCTGCACATCTTTCTTTACTATCTGAGGTTTAAGTTATAGCTTCTTCTCCAGTTTTCTCACATCCAGAGGATAATGGTTCTATAGGTAACATAGTTTATCAACCATGAGGCTTCAAAAAGTTCAGGGACTCTGTATATTCAAGGGTAATAACAGTCTGAGATAGAGTAGCTAAGGCATTAATCTGGTCTTGCAAAGTCTGGTCTACACCCATAGTTGGCCTTAGATCCTGATGTAAAGCCATCTTGTTGAGATTTATCTCAG